CTCGCACGCGCGCGGCCGCGCCCCGAGCGGTCGGCGGGCGGCCCCGCCCGCGCCCCGCGCTCGCTGGCGCCCCCTCGTCGCTCAGCCTTCCCCTCCCTCCCTCCCTCCCCTTTCTCCCCTCCCCTCCTCCTCCTCCTCCTCCTCCGCCTCCTACCCTCCCCTCATCCTCCTCCTCCTCCTCCTCCTCCTCCTCCTCCTCCTCCTCCTCCTCCTCCTCCTCCTCCTCCTCGTAGCCGTTCTGGGGCGAGCCAGGGGCTCGCTCTTGCGGGTGCAAATTTCGGAGCGGCGTGCCCCCGCGGGCCGATGGCGAATGGCGTTGCAGGTGGCACGCGCGGTGCCAGCCAGGGTGGCGACCCCTGGACGTGCCGCGCGTGTGCTGCTGGCTACGTCAACATGTCCTGGCGCACGGAGTGCAGGCTCTGCAAGGCGGCGCGGCCGCCGCGCGGCGCAGGCACGATCGGCGAGGGCATCGACAAGGCCAAGGCGAAGGCCAAGGCACAGGGGAAGGAGAAGGCCGTGGCGAAGCGCGTGCGCTTTGCCTCGGATGTGCCTGGCCCTGCCGCCGCCGCGGCCACGCCGGCGCCGTGGGCGCAGGGCGCGGCCAAGCAGGTGGCTGAGGAGCGGCCCAGCGGCAGCGGCGGCAAGGACGAGGAGGTTCGCCAGGCTCTCCTCCGCCACTTTGGCCCCAGGGAAGGCTGGTCGGCGGCCCTGGTCCAGGACTTCGGGGCCTTGGTGCCTGTGGTGGACGCGCCGCCGCCAGCGAAGCCCTTGGCCGAGCTGTCGCTCCAGGCCCTCCTGGCCAGGGAGGCGAAGATCAAGGGCCAGGTCAGCCGTGCGGAGGCTGCGCTGGCGGCCGTCCAGGAGGAGCAGGCGGCCGTCGCGGTCCGCGTGGCGGAGCAGGCAGACGTCCTCCAGAAGCGGCGCGACCAGCTGGAGGAGGTGGCCGAGGCCGTGCGTGCCAGGAAGCGCGCCGACCTGGCGCAGCACACGGGGCCGTCGCCCATGGAGGTGGGCGAGCCTGTGGAGGCCGAGGACTGCCTGGGCAAGGCGCTGCTCAAGGGCCTCGAGGGCCTCGAGGCGGAGCGGGAGCGGCTTCTCTTGCTCGGGGAGGAGGGCGGCGCCCCTGCTCGCGATGGCCGCCGAGGCCCGCAGCCTCGTGGAGAAGCTCGCCGCCGCCGACGCCCGTGCTCGCGAGGCAGCGGCGGCCGAGCGGGCCCGCGTGGCTGCAGCCGCAGCTGAGCGGGCCGCCGCAGCGCAGGAGGCCGCCCCCGCGGCTGATGGCAGTGATGATGGCGCTGATGGTCTTCCTGGGGACCGCAAGCGCGTCGGCGACCTCGACCTCGGCCCGAGCTCGTCGGGCTCGACGCCGCGTTCGACGAGGTGGGCATGGAGGACGAGCAGCAGCGCGCAGCCTGGCGCGCAGCGCTGGCCAAGCGCCAGCGGGTGGCAGGCCCCGCCTCAGGGTAGCCGCCCGCTGGCGGCGGACGTGGTGGAGCTGGTGTCGGCCAACACCACCGCGTGGGGCTCGGCGCAGTCGCTGGTCGAGTGGCTGCACGATGGCGTGGGGCGGCTGCCTGCGGTGCTCTGCCTCCAGGAGCATCGCCTCAAGGGCAAGCAGGCGGTGGCCCGCGCTGCGGGCTGGATGCAGGCGCGCGGCTTCAGCTGGCACGGCCAGGCAGCGCCGCCGGCGGGCCCAGGGCCGCTGGAGAGCTCGGGAGGAGTGGCAGGGGCCACGCTGCGGCCGTCGGCGGCCGCCGCCGCGCCAGGGCCCCCTGCCCATCGGTTCCAGGTGTGCGAGGTGAACCTGGGGTTCAGGGAGCCGTGCCGCTTCATCTCGGCCTACTTCATCACGAAGATAGGCAGGGCGAAGGAGAACATCGGGCTCCTGGCGGCGCTGCACGAGTTCGTGGGGCAGCTGGAGTCGCCGTGGGTCGTGATGGGCGACTGGAACATGGAGCCCGTGGACGTCCATGAGTGGGCGCACAGCGCAGGCGGTGCGCTTGTCGCCCCAGAGGAGCCGACCTGCGGCTCGAAGGTCTTCGACTTCGCGGTCGTCAGCAAGGTCCTCACGGGCTTTGTGGACGCGGCCGAGGTGCTGCTGAGGGCGCCGACGAAGGACCACGTGCCGTTCAAGGTGGTGCTTCGCGGCGCAGGGCCAGCGGCGAAGGTGCAGCGGCCGCTCTTCCCTGCCGCCTTCCCTCTGCCGCTGCCGCCGCCAGTGCGGCCAGCGCCGCTCGAGCGTGCCTTCTCGGCCTGGAGCCCTGGAGGTGGGCAGTCGCTCAAGGCGGGCTGCCAGGAGTGGTTCGAGGCGGTGGAGGCCTACCTGATCGACCTCCACGAGATCGTGCCGCCCAGCTGCTGGAAAGGGCGCGCGGGCGGGCTGCGCACGCAGAGGGTCGCGATGGAGGTGGCCTGGAAGCAGGACCGCAAGAGGAGCGTCGGCGCTGCCTGCAGGCGCTGGATGTCTTTCGCGGCGGCATGCGCCCGCTGGCGCGCGCTGCAGGAGGCGGCGCCAGGAGGTCGCTGCTGGGCGCCGCTGCGCAAGCAGCGCGAGGTGCTGATGGCGTTCGAGCTCGAGTGGCCTGCGGAAGGCCCGCTGGCTGGGCTGTCGGTGGCCCGCGTGGTGGGCTTGCTCAGCTCCTCATCGTGCCAGCTGACGGTGCAGTTCGTCCAGGGGGAGGCGAAGCGGCGCCGGGGGCTGGACAAGCAGCAGAAGGCCGCGGAGTGGCGCGCCTGGGCCCAGGCCGCGGCCACCGAGAAGGGCGGCTCGGCGGCCTGCCGCTTCATCAAGCAGGTCGCGGTGGTGCCTACGGTGGTGCTCGCGGGCGCGGACGGTGACGACGGCCCGCGCATGCCCGCTGCGGGCGAGGCCGCAGCGGCTGCGTTGCTGGAGGCGTGGCAGCCGCTCCGGATCAAGCCGTCGCGCGCAGGCGAGGCGGCGCCCGAGGACTGGGACATCCAGGAGTCGGTGCTGCCGCCGCTGGAGCTCGAGGACCTCTAGCGGGTCCTGGGCACCTACCGCGAGGGGTGCGGCCTTGGGTGGGATAGGCTCCACCCGAAGCAGCTGCTGCGCCTCCCGCGGACCTACAGGCAGCGCTTCCTGGAGCTCCTCATGGCCTGGGAGCGGAAGCCTTCGCGGGAGGCGCTGTGGCAGCTGATCGTGGTGTTCATCCCCGAGGCTGCTGGCGGCCAGCGGCCGATCGGCCCCACGGCCATCTGGCGGAGGGTCTGGAGCAGGATGCGGCAGCCGCTGGTGGCCCGCTGGGAAGCCTCGTTGAAGAACCCTGCCTTCTGGGGCACGTCGGAGAGCCCGTGCGAGCGCGCGGGGGTGGCGCACAACCTCCTGGCGGCCTTTGCTCGCAGCAGAGGCCTCTCGGCGGCCACGGGCGTCACCGACCTGGCGAAGTTCTACGAGCACGTCAGCCATGAGGAGCTGCGCGCGCAGGCGGCCGCCACGGAGTTCCCGCTCGCGCTGCTGCAGTGCTACTGCGTGTCGTACCGCGCGCAGCGCCGCGTGTCCTGGTGCGGCTCGGCCCCCAAGCCGTTCGAAGCGAACGGCACCATTGTGGCGGGCTGCAGCGGCGCGGTCGGGCTGGCCAAGCTGCTGGTGCACACCCTCTTCGTGAAGATTGTGCGCGAGAACCCTGTGGTTCGCCTGCAGAACGTCGTCGACGACGTGCTGCTGCAGGCGGTCGGCGGCAGGGCTCAAGCGGTGCAGCAGCCCCCCAGGGCCATGGCGGCCCTCACAGAGGGCCTGGTCGCCAAGGGGCTGGTCATCTCGGAGGCGAAGACGGGCTACCTGGCGAACAGCGAGGACCTCGGCGACGCGCTGGACGGCTGCTGGGCGCACGGGCCGCTGGCCCGCTGGACTGGCGCCCGCTGCCTCGGCGGCGACGCCGCTGATGGGCGCTGGAGGCGCGCGCGCGAGCAGGACGCTCGGCTCGGCCGCGCGGCGGCGGTCAGCGCGCGGGCGCGCCTGCTGCGCAGTGCAGGTACGCAGGTGGGCCACATCCAGAGAGGCAGCCCCACGGCCACCGCCGTCTGGGGCTCCGCGGTGACGGGCCTCGCCCGTGGGAAGCTGCACGGCCTGCGGGTCGCCGCCATGCGCGCGGAAGGCAGGCTGCCCATGGGCGCCAGCGTCGGCCCGCGGCTGCGGGCGATGCACGGCGCTGCCTACCGCGACCCCTTCGTGGTGCATGCGGTGGAGGTGGCGCGCTCCTGGGGCATGACGCTGGAGACGGGCCTGCCCAGCGCCGCGGTGGTGCAGGAGTGCTGGCTCGGGGCGCAAGGCTTGCTCGACCTTCGCCGCCCCTGGGGGCAGCGCCGCGACCCTGCGCAGGCATGCGTGCTGGCGTTGCGGCGGGTCGGCATCGAGATGGTGGCCTACAATGCCGTCATCGACTGGCAGGCGCGCGTCCTCTCGCTGGAGTTCTACTCGCCTGGCATGCAGGCGCAGGTGGCGCGCGAGTCGGCGATGCTGGCCTCGGACGTGCTCGCGCTGAAGCGGCTGCGCGGGCCTGGCGCCTGGGCATGGCCTGTGCACTGGAAGGGGCTTGAGCGCCTCCTCCACGCGCGCCGCCGCCCCGAGGGGCAGGCCGACGCCGGGGACGCCGATGGCGCAGGCCGCCAGGTGCCCGCGCCGCCGCTGCCGCACTGGCAGGCCCGCCACAGGCGAGCGCTCGTGGCGGTCCTCGGCGGCTCCCACTGGCCGCAGGAGCGCCTCTGGAAGGAGGGCAAGGCGCGCGACGGCCTCTGCCGCCTCTGCGGTGGCCGAGGCACGCTGCGGCACAGGGCCTTCGAGTGCGAGGCCTGGCTGCCGCTGCGGCGGGACGCGTGCTCGCCTGAGCTGCTGGAGGGGGCGCGGCTGGTGGCGCAGCGCGGGGACGCTGCGGCGGAGCTCTTCGCGCGCGCGCTGTGCCCCGACCCCGCCCTGGCATTCCCCGCGGCGACCGACGCCGCGCTCGCGGCCCCGCGCTGGTTCGGCGTGCCGCCTGGCTCGA